ATATGACTGATATGCGATCACTCTAGCAAAGCTCGCGCTCATTTACTCTGACTACCATCCCGTGAACTGGCAGCAATGTTTGATGTGAGTTTTGCTTAGCTGTTCATCAGCCTTCCCCTCTTGGGAACCCCGAAAAACTGGCAAGTATCAGGCGGTATTACCATTACCAAATCAGGGGGAGGGGGGGGGGGGGAGGGGGGGGGGGGGAACGGTACAGTACGTAAAAGGGCGCTATCACGAGATACAGGGGCATGTGGTGGGTAAGTGGATAGGAGCCTGAATCATTTCCGGGTCTCATCCAGTAAGGGGGGCATAGCGATCTAGAGCATTTCAAACCATGGAAAGCACATTATTTTATTGTAGACGTTCAGGACTAAGCCCTTAGAAGGGAAGGAGTCCCCGGATCCGTGAGCAATCTTGGTTTTCCCCGGGGGACTTCCTCCCCCTCCTAGGCTTAGTCCTGACCTGCTAACTAGGTGAATTTCACTTCTCGTAGACGTTAATGTCATCTAGTACAAGAATACATACATTACACAAAACACCTGAAGAAATAACATAGGAAAAAAGCTGATAGCAGCTCGTAACTTTAAAGACTCCTTGAGCCGATATTGGCATTGGAGCAGACCGTGCACCCCCTCTTACTGGATGAGACCCTCATTTCCCTTCTGCAAAAACGGACTAGATTACTACTAGGGGAGAGTCTTTTAAATCGTCGTGGCGCTTTTAATTTTGCCGGGTTCGTGCTCCTTTCTGAGCTGGTTCTAAGCAGATAACCTTATCTATGCGCGACCAGTCGGTCCTGAAACATCATTCTCCTGTCGTGAATAATCTTGAAGCGCTCTAAATTGTCTTCATAATTCGAGAAACTCCACATGAATCTTTTCGGAGCTTCTTAATAATCCAATGGGTGGACATATTGTCAAGTTCGGTACAACTAATCGCTTGAAATGATTCCAACGTTCAAGTATAGGCGATAGTTCGCGGCGCGGGTGGTACAAGCTAATTGATTTAACAAGAGATGCAACGAGAAAACCATAGAGGGAAGGAAAGTAAAAAGCGCATAGAGAGCAATGAAACCTTCATTATGAGGCCGACCGTGATATGAGAAGTAAGCAGACCAGCCCCTTTTGCGTTTCTGCTGGAGCGTATGCTGGACTATCGGGGAGGGGTCGGTGTCCCCAACGTCAACAAGAACTGCATCATAACTCCATCCTCAAGAACCCGGCCTCATATTTGATGCTTCCATTCAAGGCTAAAGCCTTGAAAGCGGACGGAGCTGCGCGAGAGAAGCAGAGGTCCGTCCTCTCTCCAAGGCTTAGTCCTGAGGTAAGCAAACCAGCCCTTTTGGCGGAGCTGCTGGACCTAGCTGCACCACTTCGTCATCACTCTCCTACCGTACCGACCGAGTTCAAGTAGTCCGTCGAGCTCGGGGACCCCATCCCTCCCCAACATTCAGCATACGGCCCCAGCAGAAACGCCAAAAGGGCTGGTTTGCTTACCCTCATGCATGTGATGGAGAGAATGCGGTGAGAGACAGCGTTGTAGGAAGGACGTAAAGACACCTGTGTATGCTGCGAACGAGTAAATAACGTCGATGCGCGCTTTCCCCGCCACTTTCAATCCATGGGGTGTCCCCAAGAGGCCCATCGCGCGGCGAAGGAAGAGACGCAGACGCGGCTAAAGACGAGTTCGCAGCGCGTGCTGTGCGATATGAGACGTAGTATGGTACACTCTATTAACCTGACGCCTAACCGCTACAGTATGCGCTGCGACTCGTCCTTTTGCCGCGTCTGCATCTCTTCCTTCGCCGCGCGACGGACCTTCTGGGGGACACCGTTCGATTCGCACAGTAACTGACAAGATCCTGGAATAAATGGTCCTGCTACCCTCGCTGAGCGTGACAGTATTTCTTCACGCCCCACACGCCGCCCGTGTTTTAATCCTACTATATATAATCGGCTAAGCGGTGTGTGTGTGTGTGTGTGTGTGTGTGTGTGTGTGTGTGTGTGTGTGTGTGTGTGTGTGTGTGTGTGTGTGTGTGTGTGTGTGTGTGTGTGTGTGTGTGTGTGTGTGTGTGTGTGTGTGTGTGTGTGTGTGTGTGTGTGTGTGTGTGTGTGTGTGTGTGTGGTGTGTGTGTGTGTGTGTGTGTGTGTGTGTGTGTGTGTGTGTGTGTGTGTGTGTGTGTGTGGTGTGTGTGTGTGTGTGTGTGTGTGTGTGTGTGTGTGTGTGTGTGTGTGTGGTGTGTGTGTGGTGTGTGTGTGTGTGTGTGTGTGTGTGTGTGTGTGTGTGTGTGGTGTGTGTGTGTGTGTGTGTGTGTGTGTGTGTGTGTGTGTGTGTGTGTGTGTGTGTGTGTGTGTGTGTGTGTGTGTGTGTGTGTGTGTGTGTGTGTGGTGTGTGTGTGTGTGTGTGTGTGTGTGTGTGTGTGTGTGTGTGTGTGTGTGTGTGTGTGTGTGTGTGTGTGTGTGTGTGTGTGTGTGTGTGTGTGTGTGTGTGTGTGTGTGTGTGTGTGTGTGTGTGTGTGTGTGTGTGTGTGTGTGTGTGTGTGTGTGTGTGTGTGTGTGTGTGTGTGTGTGTGTGGTGTGTGTGTGTGTGTGTGTGTGTGTGTGTGTGTGTGTGTGTGTGTGTGTGTGTGTGTGTGTGTGTGTGACCGGAAATTCATAACTTCACCCCTTTGGACCCAGAGCGCTCAAACTTCTAGGATATATAGGGGGCCGAGGTGAACACTGATGACGGGTGGCGGGAAGTGATAACTACTGATAGGAGCTGATAACGGACGTCGAAATGTTGATGTCACCAATTTCGTTACACCGTTCGCGTTGATGGTGGAGAGTTTGCACTCATGTATGATATGTGGGGTGAGGCGGGGACCAAGAAGTTGAGTGAACGAATGTGGTAGCAACTGATAAGAACTGATAAGGGGCGTCAAAGTGTGGATACCACCAGTTTCGTTGCGGCCCTTGCGGTTACATTGGAACCTTGGCTCTCACATGTGGTATAGGGGATGGGACGGGAACACGGATAGCGGATGATCAGAAGTGATAACAAGCGATAACAGTTGATAAGGAAGTTAGGATTTTGAGTACTGCTGAATTCGTTGCAGCCTTCGTTGTGACAGTAAATATTAGCTCCTACACGTTGCCTGGAGGTTGGGACCGGGACACCGATTGCTAACAGTATGAACTGATAACAAATGACAAGGAATGATAAGAGCGTTTGAATGCAAGTCTCTCCAACTTCGTTGCAATTTTCACTGGCAAGCGATCAAGCTGGCGAGGGTTAAATGTAGGTGGCAGAAAGTGGTATGAGCGGCAACTGTACTGATAAAAAGTGCGACAGTTAAGCGTGCCTTCAGTTTAGCTGAACCAGGTTCCTAGCACGTGAATGTGTTCCATTCCTAACCTTTCATCTAAAGAAGTAAAGAAAGTTGAGCTGCTCAACTATCTCGACTTGGACCAATAGCGAATTTCCACTATATTTCCAATTTCCATCACAGCTCGGTTAGATGCTGATTGATTGGTTATATTTCACTTACACACCGATTCTTCAATTGTGGAAATTCTATAAACCGCTAAATCATCCGAGCTCGATATCAATGCTAAATGTTTACGAAGTCATGATAAGTGCATTTTCATTCCGCATGCTACTGCGCGCATTACGCTACAATCTTCAGCAAAATTGGACAGCCTTTGAAATTCATGTGACACATCTTCCAAACATCTTACTGTTAGTTTCTCAGCCACGTGACCTAATATTCAGCAAGTTGTCCAGTTTCACTAAAGCCTACCATGTGATGCGCGCGGTTGCGTGCGGAGCTAAACTGGTAATATATAATCAGCCGCGCGCGATTAACAAGACCTCTTGTTTAAAAACTGTCGAATTTTCAATATCCGAGCTGGTCAGAGGAATCTAGAAAAGATACTGCCTCTAAGCATTCATCGTTCCATTCAACGTAGATGTTCTTCTACTCAGTGGTAGTTCAACTTTGTCGAAGATGATTTTTCAACTTTCGTCGAGACATTTTTTCAACCCATGCATTCCAGCGATTTCGATTCCGTAATCGGCTATGAGCAACTGCCATCTGCATCTGCATTCAGGTCTAACTCGGCGTTGTTTAGCCGTCGCCATCCGGGTTGATCTCTTGTACGTGTACCGACGTTGGTCATATTCCTGGCCCACTTTGATACAGCAGCATGCACTGAATAACATGACCGCACACATGGAGACGGTTGACGGACTACTTGAACTCAGCCCTTTACCGCCTCTGCGCTCTCTAGCGGGTCCCTCTCCTCTCCAAGGCTTAGTCCTAGGGCATTCTCTAATCGTCTGTGCTCTAGCCATCGCGGCAGGACCATTGAGGAAAATCACCTTAATCTTGCCTGGGATGTTTTCGTATGTAATGCAACAGAGTTGTCCCGGGGTCCATCGCAGCATTTTCGTTTCCACAGGGCTCGAGGTTCTTACTTCCTTTGCCGTCATCTGTTTCGTTTCTGCTCTATAGATGACGTTTGATGCCATCACTGAGCTTCCTAGACTTTCGGCGGATCGGCATTTTTCTATTTGAGCTCCAGAAATGTCGTCTTACCCCAGATGGCCCATGGATTTTCACAATTACTTGCATGTATATTGGGCATGAGCGTACTGACAAGGCATCATTATGCGGAGAGCCCAACATGCAGAACATTCTCCCTTCATGGACCTCCCCCTGGCACTAACGCCTAAGGCAGTAAGCCTAAGGGGGAGGGTTTAAGGAGGGGTGTGTAGGCAATTTCATTTCTCCGGAGCTCGTCCTGTCCTCCTAGGCTCAGTCCGCGAGGTGGTGTACCCCCTTCCCCCCTAACGGTAAGAATGTACACTAACACTGCGTATTGTATATATTCTACTCGTATGACTGCACACCTTGTACCTAACCGTTCACAAGATTCATCCATAATTTCTTGCTTCAGTCAGGAACCGTAATCCTTTTCGAGTGTATATTTGTGCTAGTCCCGCTGTACTACTCTATGGTTGCTGCCAAATGGATTAAGAGTACTTCTAGTGAGTACAGACGCTAAATTCTTCCCACAAAATTCGACACTTTGAGTAAACTCTTGGTTTTCAGAAGCCGTTAATGTGCTGTCAACTGTGAAATCGCCAAAGAAGCTCAGCGAAGGACGAATTAAGAAACTTCAAATTGACCATGGCCGTTCAGTCTCGTCGTTCACCCCGGCCGAGGTGGAAATGAAGGTCAAAGCGAGAAGGGTCAGCGCATAGTTATAGCTTCTACTTCAGTAGTCCAACTGTCGAAGTCTTTTTCCTGATTTCAGCATGAACTCGGCGACTCCAATTTTGAAGTTTCCAGCCCAAATGACACCACCGTTAAAATGTGATCGATCTATCTGAAAGTCGTTATTTATCAGTACTTGCACTTTGTCATTTCGTGGCGTTATGTTGAGTGGATTAATTTTTTTCGAGAAATGATACAGTGAAAGTGCTGGTTGATAACTAGTAAAAACGAGAAAATGAAGGATTTTGAAACAATTTCTGTCATTTTTCGCACAGCTACTTAGGGCCGTATGCTATCCTCCCCGAAGGGGTTAGGGGACGAAAAGTCCTTTAAATTTTCTCTGTCTTCCCAACTGGGATTGCCCTGATAAAGGGCCTACATTTAATATGTATGTAGGTAAAAGTAAACATGCACTGAAAATGAAGAAACTATATCGTTCAAAACAAATAAATTTAAAGGAAACTTTGGATCACCTAGCTTCGGGGAAGCATAGCATACGGCCCATTGTCTCTTTCGTCTTTTTTCTACAAGAGTTCGATATTTAGTTATAGTTCAAATAAGT